CTTTTTTGTTGTATCTTGAATCCTTGCCAATCTGTTAATTACGTATGTGTCATGACGCAATGGAATCAGGCGCTCGTCAATTTTTAGGCATATGGAGTTATTGGTATCATCTTAAAAGTTGTTCATTTGCCTTGCTTTCAAAGAAAAAAATATCCATTTGTCTTGAACAGAAGTTGAGATATTTGCGACTGAAGGAGGAGGGGGTCGGCGGGCTTGAGAAGTAAAATAAGAGAGAAAATGGCTGTCAAAGTTTGGTGACTTCCATAGCTTAAGAGTCTTTAGAAACTTAAATTCACATTTTTTGTGCCTTTAATCAACATTTTTCAATAAAATCCACACATAAGTGTTTTTGAATGGACATACAAGGTGTTGAGGCAAAAAACAAAAATTCGAAAAATTTTCCAAAACTGGAAGAAGAATGCTGATTTCTCGGAATTCATTATTTTGAATAGCGCCTGATTTCACCACGATGCCGTACATATATATATACTATAGTTCAGGAAAAAGGAGGAAACAATATCATCCCCCAATCTGCTTCCACAGACGAGCCTGTGTAAGACTGCCATCCATTGTCAAGGTGAAAATTGGCCGTATAAGACAGGTGGCCGTCTTAGGCAGGACTGATCAAGATGAAGAAAACAAACCATTCCTTTCTGAGGTCCCAACCGAAAGTAGTCGCATTGTTGTTGTTGTTGTTGTTGATACTGGTGTTGTTTTCGCTGGGGGGTTCTTTTGTTACTCCTTTTGTGAAAGGGTGACAATAAAACGAAATGTGTCAGACAAGGAGGACCGAGTGCTATGGTAAAACAAACACATGGGTCACCACCGCTCGGAGAACGAGCAACGCTTCTGTCACAAGTTCATGTTGACGTCCATTGTTACTTTGTTACAGACTGGGTAAACAGTGACCACTCAACTCACTCACGATTTGGGTATGAGTTCTGGGCGGGGCTTATGGGTTATGAGGGATCACATGCTTACCTCACCAGCAGCTGAAAATTTGTTACCTAACAGTGGGAGGGGCCTACGCAACATGATCGGTTGGAGGGACTACCTAACAATAACGACAGGTGATTTGATTATGATGGCTCACCCAACGCAAGGGGCCAAAGCATGATTTATGACAAAACATAATGGCGTCGCTAAGGTGGCCGTCTAAGACAGGGGTTATTGCTTGGTATGATAAGGGTTGTGTGTTAAAATATGGTGGCCGCGGCCGCGTTGGACAGGTGCCCCTTCTACACAGTTAAATTATATAGAAAAAACGCAAGGGGGAAAATGGAAAGTGTCCGTTTGCACAGGGGGCCGTCAGGGCAGGTTCGACTGTACTTGACTGAACAGTTGTTTGATAGGCATACCGTGGGTATCAACACTCTTTTCAACAAAGCACGGCTATTAAAGACGTGGGGCCTCTGTAAAAGGAATGACATGGGAAAATCTCAAAGAAATCAAATTCAAGAAATATATAATTATTGGTGGCTTGAATCAACAGCATGATACCAACTGAGTTTACTGAGCTAACTGCATGTTCCATATGTTTCATTTCTCAAAAACAGCTATGTGGGACTTCAAAAGGGTAGTATGGTAATTATCATTTTGATCAGAACTCTTAAGAGCCCAGAAAATGCTAATGAGAATAAGCTCGCATCCCACACATCGTCTTCGAGTCCTTCCTTGCAGTAACTTAAAACGAACAGGTACTGAAGAAAAACAGAATTAGACAAAAAATAATGAAGAAAAACAGAATTAGACAAAAAATAATTTGATAAAGCAAAAACACATATATATGCAGTAGAATTTCTGCAAAAGAAAATGACTAACCTAACATTTTTAGCCCTAATCTAAAGACAGAGATGTAAGAAAGACCACACACTATCGAATGAGTTCAATATAAGACGGCCATGTTAACTCAAATAAATAAACTGCTCTCTCTTGAGCAAACGAAACAAACTGAAAAAAACAAATGCCATTTGCAATCTATTGTTTCATAACAGAAATGTAGGCCTACAAGCTCACTGACAAATAACCACACTCATTCTACAATCACCCCAGTCGCCTTAGGGCTAATTTGAACAGAAAAAGCCACTATATTGCCATCTCCCAAGGCAAAGCAAGGTATCTGGCAACATTTGAGTTTTATAGTTTTATTGTTTTGTTATACTGGTCTTGCCCTTACTGCACTTGTGTCAAAGGCAGGACAGTGCATCTGCATCCGAAAAAATAGTTTACAAAGTCGTAAAGCTATGTAAGTGATTGGTCTCAATACACATTTTTCTCAATATCATGAAATGGGCAGTTACATCGCTTTACCTTTGAAAAGCAGTATAGTCATAGATAGAACTTTCAAAATAACATTGACATTTAGTGCATCTACCAGTTACTGTAATCAACCAAATGTATGGAATTTCAAGAATTAGAAAATTGATGGAAGGAAAGAAAATGTTATTTCTCTGGACTTTTTGAAGACACGGAATTGTGACCAGGGCGAATGTTGAACGAGTATCACTGACAGTAACCTGACAAGACCCAGAAATCACAAGTCCAGGCATCATCCAGACAAACCCTCAAGGTTGCAATAACAATACATTTTTAAAGCAGCGTCACATAACAGGAATCGAAACAATGCTTGTTTTGTATTTACACTGACTACCAAAGCCAAAGCAGACACACAGATCATGTACAAAAAAAAAGAGAGACCATTACCAGACATGAGGTGCATTTCATCCACTGTCAAAGAAAATTGTATATTCCACATCTTTCTGACCATTCAGTTCCACTTTTGATTTTTTTAAAGGAAAAATTTTTGTTACTTACGATATAACTAAAATTCCTGGATAGGATGAAAAAAAGCTGAGACATGATGTTCTCTTTGGATCAAACTTTTATGAAAAGTTAAAAACCCCTCTTTGAAGTCTTGAGGGGCATCTGATTTTTACAAACCCTCTTCTTTGTGAAAACACCTTCCAAAGAAAACTTAAACATTCCCCTCAGAACCTGATTGTGCAAATTTTGAAAAGCAACTGTTTTATTGTATCTATTTCCCAAAATATAACTAAATGCACTAGAAAATCATGAATACTCTGAAAAGTCCTTGTCACTCACAACACCGCAAAGAACAAAAAAACTTCAGAGTATTTTTCTCAGCATTTTCAAGGAAAGACATATCAAGTTAGTATTTCAACGAAAGAGAACATGACGCAAATTTTCCAGCAAAGTAGGATAGTTTAGAATATAAAATAGTGATTAGAACAGGACAGACACGTACAAAAGGCAATACAGAGGCACAGACAATTGATATATCATAGATACTGGCGCAAATGGCAATAATGCTGAGAAATTTGTAATAATTCTTTCAAATCAAATTTCACTCCCATTACCTAAGGACGGAGTGGCAATAATAAACAAGGTCTTTAAAAAAGTTTTTCTAAATAAATGTGTATTTTTTCAAATATTTGCTTTTATAGCAATTCCAACTGTGTAAAATATGCTGATGGCACTGATCATAATAACATCGCTGGAATCAGTTGTTGTGTTCAAGTCCGCTAAGCACATACTGAAAAGCAATGTATCATGGTCGTAAATGACTCCACTTTTTCTTTTAGCCAAGTGTACACTGGCCAAAACAAAGCGTCAATATCTGAATTCCATTGTCAGCAAGGAATCTAATTATGATAGAAATAGAAGATGAAAATACATACAAATTCCTGCACACACATGCATGCACACATACATATATATCAAGCCTGTCTGAATAGAGGCTCGGGGGGGGGGGGGGGGGGGGGGAATACATAACAAAAAAGATCTAAGATATTTAACTGTACACAAGCATGTTATTATTATTTCCAGACACACAAAAATGCCTTGTTTTCAGATTCCATAGACACACACACAAAAATGGTAATTTACTTTCAATAGAAATAACATAAAAATAAAAGAGCAGGTTCCCAATTGACAGACAAAAAAAATACTACGCCAAAGTGCAAATGTGACTAGAGCCAGCTGTGTCATCTTGTTGATTAAAGCAGCCACTGACCAGAACACATTAATACATAATATGCTTCCTTGATGAAATTTGTGCCCTAATTGCATTGTTGCCTAAAATGGAAACAATCTAAAGACGAACAGAAAAGCTCACATTCACACAAACTGCCTCTTATTTCTGTCAATTGTTGAAACATAAAAATATTTAAAAGAATAACAGCACAGATGTGTCCCTGAGCATGCAAGGATTTACCAACTTCTTCAAATTCACCAATCAGTGAATGCAGTGAGTAAAAAATCTTCAAATACACCAACTGGCTCACTGTGTTGAGTAAAAATCTTCAAAGATATCAACTTGCTCAATCTGGTGGGGATCATGGTCAAGAAAGATAAATGTGATGCAATACTAGTAGACAAAACTCTTGCTGCCAGAAAAGAAAAAAAAAACCCAACTGATTTTGCCCAAAGGGAGTGAGTGCAGGCTACTAATCAAAAACAGATCATGACGTCTTTTAGTATAATGGCAGTTCCTCGAGCATTCACATAAATAAATGCACACTACACAAAAACTACCGGACTAAGAACTTTTGTTATAAAAGAACAGCTCCTTGACTGCAGCTTCTTTAGTATCGGCACCCATAAACAATGTTCTAATCATTTCTTCATTCTTGTGAAACACCATGGAGACAGCAGACTCTGAAACAAAACTCATAAACCTCTCAAGGCATATTCACTCTTGTACCTTTTCTAAAGCAGTGTACTTAAAAGCTCAACTGAAAACTGAAAAGTCCTCAAAAGCAGCTATATGTTCATACATAACACACTTCAAAATAGGACTTAATTATACAATTGCAAATGCTTTACATCCCACCCACTGATGCCATTACTTAATTCAACAGAGAAGCTGCTTCAACTTTGCCTGTCAAGACTAACCTAGCCTGAATGAGACACAGCAGATCAGGAGAAAGGCAGAGCTACTCAATAAAGACAGGTGGGAATCAAACTCACATTTTTTTTTACCTGAAGTGGAAAAGAGCCAAACAATTACACCACAGACTCTGGTCAAATTAAGCTTGATGGTCTCTAAGGGTGTAGACAGAATCAGAAAGGAAGGCGTAAAAACTACTTAGAGGCAAACATAACATGGAAAGTCAGGACATAGTTGAGATTATCAAATATCACATGACCATTCCAAATAAGATGTAAATTATTGAAAATGCAGCTAAAACCCACCTTGGAAAGCCAACATGCTGTAGCAATATTATTATATTTGCAGAGAACAGACAATTTCAAATGTAGACATAATATGATCTTAACCCTGCTGCCTCCATTAGCTTAGATTTAAAAGGACAGGGCCACTGAGCTTCCGTACGTCTTAAGCCTTTACACAAAACAAAACATGTGAGTTCTAATTCATTCATGGAAATTTTGCTAAACTTGCCATGGTTGCTAAAAAAAGAATTTCTAATATTTCCAGTCTTCTTTACTCATGACAACTTTCTCAGTGCCAAATCGATCTACTCCACCTTTCGATTTTTGCACTGTTACCAGTCTCTTCGTACTGTGGTCTGTCTGTAATTTATATAGCAACTCTACCAATGTACCCATTAGTATCAGCAGGGTTAACTAATGGAAAAGCCCAAAAAAAAGGCAATTTTACAAGTATATACATCTATAAATCAATAGCCTTTCTTAGTGATTTATATCTATTTTGAAAGGATGTAAGACAAATCAAAGTTCAGGAGATCCTTCGACTGAAAATGATTATCTGGATACATAGAAACCACAAATTGAAGACCACTCCTAACAATTCACAGACAGCCTGAGGTAGCCAGAGGGGTAAAAAATCCGCAGTCTCCATGGAAATTTGTCACATTAAGGCAAAACACGGTGCAATGAGAACTACTTTGAACTGTGCTTTCTTCTGTATTTTGAACAAATCAGGTGTAACATCCCAAGAAAGAGAATAAATGCCAAAAAACACCATACATGTGTGTCAAGAAGAGACTTCTGCGGCTGTGTACAACAGTAAAAGCCTCACCTTGAAACATCAAAATGCTGCCATACACCCGCACACTACATTCACCTGCTCACTGACACATGGCACCAACATTCTCCGACCAGAAAAAAAAATGGTATAAAATTCATTGTTTACCATCACCATCAAAGTCCTCGACCATTACTAAAGAGTGCATGACAGTATTCATTTTCAAGCAAAACAATTCTGATCTTTTAGTCCTCGAGCTAAATACATTTGTTCCTAACATTATTCAATGCATACTTCCATAAGAACCAAAAATCAAATGAACATCAAAATTTGTCAGAGTATTGTCACCGCCGACGTATATGAGAGGTTATCCACTCCAAGCCTTGGTATAACCTGAAATAAAAGTACACAAAGAATAAAATTCAAAATGCATTCACCGGGTACAATAGTCCCCATTAACTAGTTTGAACGAAAAAAAAATTCTGCAATGTCAGCTTTAAGCGCCGGAATTAATAGGAAAGTGCCATTCATATTTTTAATGGATACAGTGTAGTCACTACAAAACTTCTCTGAAGGACCTAACATACCTTGGTAAAGAATCCAACCGTGCTTTGAATAATTGAAAGAACATTAAATGCATTAAACCTTTGATAGTGTTGTTAACACTATTGTGTTAGTCCATTGTTAGATCCTAAGCAAGGGGAAAGAACCCACCTCCCGTGAATACAAGCTTTTAAAAAACACATTTTAAAAATACTAAACAAATTCCAAAAATCTTGAAAAAATAAAAGTTAACAAGAAAACTGAAAGTAGTTTCAGAAAAATATAACTTTATGTAAGCGCAAATAGTTGGAAATGTTCTAACTTTAGTTAAATCGGGGTGTCCGACCTGTCACTCTCGCTCTCAGCTTCGTGGTCGGGCCCTAGATCTAAATTATCCATTTTCTACATTTGATCAATCTGAATCGCCCCAAACTCTTGCTACAACGTTTTCATTAAAATCTGAGCCATCTGATTTGCCACAAGCTTGTTTTTGCTCAAATCAATCGTTAGTTCTGTTCTCGAACTCAATTGTGTTGCTTTTCAACAAGTCGAGACACTTTTGAAGTGTCGGTAACGCAATCGCACTTCGATCAGCTCTAATACTAAAACTACTGGCCCAAAAAATTTCGTTTCGGTATCAAACGAAAGAAGAAACTTTTTGCTATGACTATGCAAATCAAAATCTCGGCCCCAGAGTCTCGACAAGGCGAGACTTCGTTTCTAAAGATGCTAGGTCGGCGCGGGCGATTCAGGGCGAGTCAGGGCAGAGCGCGTAAGGGAATTCTCGGGCGATTCCGGGCGAGTTAGGGTGTAATGTGTTAATGTATTTCATACATCTTAGTAATCTGCAGTTCAGCATACTGTAAAACACATCTCAAAATATAACAGTTAATCCCATGTTCTGTTGTGTTGATATCTCAGCTACTACAAAGTTTCGAACAAAAAAGTGACATCCTTTGATGAAAGTTTGTTGTTCTGGCTATGAGATCATATCTATACAAACTATTTGATGGGAAGTGCGTTTAACACTGACAATTCAAAGTGAGGAGTGTTGTCTTTTTTACACACATTGAGTGAGGGTCTGAGAGGACCCGTTGAATGCTAACATCAATATAGCTTATTCTACCCAGACCTTGTCAATGGATAAAGCCAACTCTTCATTTCTTTTTCTATTGATATAATATGGTTTGACAGGAAGCATCAGCTTTGTGACCAATAAAACAAAACAAGATGAGTTGTCTCTCTTAAAAACATTGTGAGAGACAGAACCAATGCGTAGAGTCAGAGCGCTTATATAGTATCTGTCCTTTCAACTCGTTAGCATTGTTATGACTGGTTCTATACATGTCTTGTCACTGGATGAAGTCATCTCTTCATTTCTCTTTCAATTGACATATAGCTTTACAGACCTGTCTCCTATATTAACTCCATAAGGGAACAATTGTCCATTAAAGATTGTGACTTGTGGCATCTCGCATTTGAAAGAATTTTTCTTCACATGTAAGGTGCATGTGCATACAGAGGTCAAGCGGTTTACTCCTTGACTTTGCTGTAGATAGGTCCTATATCTCTATAATCCCCTGCCCAGTGCGCTGTAGGTGTAGCTCCTACATAGGCAAAAACCTATTTTGTTTCTTTGATACCTAAATTTTCAATAAAAAGATATGAGATCATACCTATCCATATTATATATACGTGCCATGTCATGGTGGAATCAGGCACTTGACAGTTTTTGAGCATATGGAGTTGTGTATCATAATAAATTTGGTGACCTCCAAAGCCTGATAGTTCTTGGAAAGTGCAAATTTATATTTTGTTAGCCTTGAACAATAATAATAAATGTGAGGCATCGTGGTGAAATCAAGCACTCATCAAAATAATGAACTCGAAGAAAAAGGCATTTTTCCACCAGTTTGGCAATTTTTATCAAATTTTTGTTTTTAGGCTCAACACCTCTCAAGCCCACTAAGGAACACATTTCAATGTGGATTTTACTGAAAAATGTTGATTAAAGGCCCAGAAAATGTAACTTTTCAGTTTCCACGAACTCTCAAGCATAGGAAATAACTAATCTTTGGCAGCCATTTTCTCAGTGATTTTAACTCTGAAACCTGACGACCCACCCCCACCTCCTTCATTTGTGAATAACTCGACTTGTATTCAAGATAAATGGATATTTTTTTCATCCAAAGCAAGGCAAATGAACAAACTTTAAGATGATACTAATAACTCTACATGCCCAAAAATTGATGAGAGCCTGATTCCACAGCGCCGTGACACAAGCAGCATTTGTGTAGCGCATTTCCACGCTCAACAGCAAGCTCTATGCGCTTTACACTATATTATTACCCCAGCAGATCATATCATATTCAGAAACATTCTCAGCTTCCCAAGAAACATACAGTGCAAGCAGCTGATTAAGCGCTCAGACACTAACAAACTGACAAGTCCTTTAACTGTCTTTAGCTGGGTACCCATTCCCATCAGGGTGAAGTGAGGAAAATTCGTATAAATGTCTTTCCAAAGGACATAACATCGGTCCCAGGACAGGATTCGACCTATGACCTTAATACGTTGCGAGTCGGAGAGCCTAACGCCACAATGTTTTTCAGTAAAATCTACAAAGAAATGTGATTTTAAATGGACGTAAAAGGTGTTAGGGGAAAAAAAAAAATTGATTTCATTATTTTGACTAGCACCTGATTTCACCACGGTGCCTCACATATGTTTTTAAACTATGAGATGTGAAGCCTGGGCCTTGTGACTGATAAAACAATTTTAAAGTACAGTGTGTTGTCTTTCTCACAGAGATAGTCAGATGTTGATGCATTGGATTGAAGTGCTTGTTTAGTCTTCAGTCTAAGTACAGTCAAACCTGCTCTATCGACCACCTGCCCAAGAACTAACAGCCACCCTTTGATCTCTGATTTGAAGACAGACCGAAATTAAATTAAATACTGTAAATTAACACATCTAACTTGATGATCCCAGACATCACAGAACAATATAGGGATACAAATCTCTGAGAAAAATAGAACCAGGCACAATACTGGTACATTACGTACCCCTCGCCAGTAAGGCCACAGCAGGCTTGTATGTGCCACACGTGATCTTTCACAGCAGTCAAGTTAAGCTGTTGCGAGATTTTCGCTGGTGACATACAGCCTTTGATATCCTGCTTGTTGGCATAGATCAGTACGGCTGCCTTGCGCAGATCCTATGAACAGGAACAAAGCAGGAATGGGTCATAACAGATTGGCAAAAAAGAGAATTTGAAATATGAAATAATGTGTAGGCCTACGAATAAAAGATGCCACCTCTATGTCAGAGAGGCTGTAGCATATGGGCGCCATCCCACTGGATAGAGAGTTATACCATCTGTTGAAAGGAAACAGCGAAGTTTATCCACTGGCCTGCTTGGTGAAACTAGCAAACAATTATGTCAAAACATAAGAAACAACATCATAGCCTTGCTACAGGGTAAAAAATAATTACCAGGGACTTTGAGAAGCTAAACACTCACCTCATGTGCCAACATCTTGTACAATTCTTCCTTGGTGATGGACAACCTCTCTCTGTCTGTGCTGTCTATCACCATGATGATGAACTGAAACAAAACAAAACTTGATATATGAGCTGCCTGCCTGCCTTTAGCACAATAACCAAGAGTCTTGAGCTTAGATCGATATGTACTGCTTTCGGCCGCCACTGCAGTCGCAACTAATTGACAATAGTTTCGCTGAAATGTCTTTGGAATACATCTAATGATCTATTAAATTAAAATTAAATCAAAGAAATTGGAAAAAAAATCCACTTAATCAGTCTATATTGGGAAATGTTTTAAAACGGCGTACATAAATACCAAACACATAATTGCACGAATATAACATGGTTATCATATGTTGCTCAAATATCAATGACCAACCCCCCGTCAAATTTGTGTTATTCAAATGGAATTGGAAATCAACGGCTCAATTCGGCACCCCCCCTCCCCAAACACAATAATCACATGGTCATCACTGTTCTGATCATTCCTCTAAAAAGTGTCATGTAATGAAAAAAGTGTATGGGTTTAACACTCCTATTGACACTATTAGAACTCCACAGAAGAACCCAAGTTTAAGAACGCTAATCTGAGATTTGAACCTGGGCCATTAGCTCTAGAGTTCAGCATATTGCCAACTGAGCTAACAGAGTGCCCTCAAAATGTTGCTTGTTTTCAAACTATAAGTTTTTGAAAAATTGCACTAGGTAGGACATGTTGTTTCTTGAAAATATGTGTCTCGTATTTTTAAAAAACAATACAGCATGTCAGCAATAAGTTAGGTACGTTTTGGGGATTCTCATCTGCTTTTATCCATGCAGCTGTGACCAAAGAGTGAAAATGATTATTTAAAAGTGGAAAGGAAACCAATGGCTCAATAATTCTGGACTATCATATAACAATAAATAGCGATTTAAACCTTCAGTTTGAAGAATTCTTTAGTTCAGAATCATGACAATCCGGCTTTGTCATTTTCTAAGGAATTCTGAATATCAATTCAAATTTTGAAGTTTGGAAAGTGTGGGTTTTTTTCTAAAAAGTGACCCAAAGATTGGGGCCACCAGAATCATACATGAGGCAGTCTGGTGAAATCAGACGCTCGTCAAAATAATGAAAGTCAAGAAACTGGCATTTTTCCGCAGGTTTGGAAATTTTTATCGAATTCTTGTTTTTTGGCTCATCACCTTTCATGCCCTTTAAAGAAAACATTTCTGTGTGGATTTTACTTTAAAATGTTAAGTTAAGGCATAAAAGATGTACATTTGCAGTTTCCACAGACTCTCAAGCTAAGGAAATAACTTAGCTTTGGCGGCCATTTTCTCGTTTATTTGATCTCTGAAACCTGGTGACCCCACCTCCTTCAATCGCCAATATCTTGACTTGTATCATAGATAAATGGATATTGTTTGCATCAAAAGCAAAATAAGATGATATCAATAACACCATATGCCCCAACATTGATGAGCGCCTGATTCCACTGATGACTGATGCCCCAAATATACAGTAATATTTGCATACAATTGCTAAAACTCTTGTGGGTGCAGAGCTGTAATGTTTGGCAATAAATGAGACAGGTGACCACAGAGATCCTTCAGCATTCATTCTATAAGACTCCAGACCAAACTAAAGCCTTGTCCTGAATTTGGGTTTTACCTTTTTTTTTCATTTTTTATTTAAATTAAAAAATTGTATCTTCTAATTCAATTTTTTTTTCCAGAGGGTGGTGGGGGTGGAAGGGTGCATGTTTAGTTTAGGGCATTGATACCATTCATAGAAAAACAGACACTAACCAACAAAAAAAACAAAAAAAACAACAACAAATGAAACTATAAAGAATTTTCTTCACCAATCTTAAACATTGCACCTCTTCCTAAAAAAAAAAAAATGAAAAGAGTGGGGAGAGAGAAGCACATTTCTTACCAGCATGATAAAAATAAATAATGACAAAGAAACCTGTGTATGTGAATGGAAATTCGCGCAGAGCAGTAATTAGTAGTGTTTTACGCCTATATCGACAGCAACACTGTTTCAATCAATCAAGAGACATCTCCAGCATGCCCGATAAGCCAACTATTTTCCAGTCAGGCAAAGAAAAGCACAAGGCAAAGTTCCAAATATATTCAAGATCAAACATTTTGCCCCTGATTTACTTCCTTTATAATCAAATTATAAATTATGGCATCAGGGTAAAATCAGGCACTTGTCATATAATGGAAAAGAAGAAACGGATATTTTACTTCCCGTTTGGCAATTTTACCACGTTTTTTTTTTTGGGGTGGGGGGGGGGGGGGGGGGGTTCTTCTTGAGCTCAACACCTTCTATCTTATATGTCTATCTAAAAAGACAATTCTGTGTGAAACTTACTGAAAAACCTAGATTTGAACCAAAAAAATAAAAATAAAAATAAATTTGCAGTTTTCTAGGGCACTACAGCTTTTGAAGTCACCTAACTTTTGGGGCCTTTTCTCACCAATATCACCTGACACCAGACGAGCCCCACCTCCTTCAATCGTAAATACTTCGACAGATAGGTGTTTTTTTAAAATCAAAAGCAAAGCAAATGAACAGACCCTAAGATTATAGCATTACTCCAAACGCAAAAAAAAAATGACGAGCGCCTGATCGACCGCCTCATGACACAAGCTGTTTATTTGCTTAAAGTTGAAAGAAAATCATAAGAAACTGCCATCCAGTAATTGCAATGTCTACCAATGTTACACTATTATTTCACATGGTCAAAATTTAATTAAAACATGTACTATCTCAACAAAAAAACCCTGAAAAATAAAAAAAATTATGTAAACAACAGAAATTGAACAAACCAACTGAAATGTTAGAGTAAAACTCAACAAAATACCTCTGAGTTGGTGTAGTAAGTATTCCATGACGCTCTGAGAGACTCCTGGCCACCAATGTCCCACATCAGGAAGTGAATGTTCTTCCATACAACCTCCTCAACATTGCTGCCAATGGTCGGGGAAGTGTGCACAACTTCATTCATCAAACTGTAGAGGGATGGAATAATAATTATTGCTTGAACAAGCAAGAGAATCAGAATGTATGTGAACAATATGACATTTTAGTTTAGTTTAGCTTTAGTAAATGTTTTACGGCACTTGCAACACAATAAGGTCATTAAGTGCCGAAGATTAGAGGTGTTACAAGAGAGTAACAAACACAAAAAAGAAGGAGGAGAGATTAGGACGATAGATGTTTGATAGGAAAGAAGGAGCAAACCACACCAGAGCACCCGCCAACCACCCATATGACATTTAGCCTTACAGGTACAGACTGTTCAGGTTGAAAGTGGGGCCCATTCTATAAGTTAAAAACAATTGTCCAAAGAAACTTAACAACTATTGAAATTTTGCGTCTTTATTCCCAAAATAATTTTAATTAAGACCCTATTTGAAAGGAATGCAATTAAAGGTTATATAAACCTTCGAGTGTATCTCTATGAATCGTTTATACAAATCCTTTACAACATAAACATGTATATTTGTAAATTGTGTGGGTCCTTACATTTAATTGAGTAAGAAGAGATAACAGAGATTGAATAAAGTAGCACATAAATGTGTGTGTGTGTGTGTGAGAGAGAGAGAGAGAGAGAGAGAGAGAGAGAGAGAGAGAGAGAAAGAGAGAGAGAGATATATTATATATATAGAAAGAGAGAGATGGGGGGGGAGGGAAGGAGGGAGGGAGAGAGAGAGAGCAAGAGAGAGAGAGGAAGAGAGGAGAGAGAGAGAGCAGGAGAGAGAGAGAGCAAGAGAGAGAGAGAGAGAGGAGAGAGAGAGGGAGTGAGAGAGGGAGGGAGGGAGGGAGAGAGAGAGAGAGAGAGAGAGAGAGAGAGAGAGAGAGAGAGAGAGAGAGAGAGAGAGAGAGAGAGAGAGACAACAGAGACAGACAGAGAGGGGGGAGGGAAAAAGAAAGAAGGTGAGAGAGAGAGAAAGAGAAAGGGGAGAGAGAGACAGAGAATAATATTATTATACTATACTAATGTACAGATCAAAGTATAGTGAAACAACGACATTCCAGTTGTTACAGCCTTCTACTGATTTTATGTTGACAACAGTCTCAATAAATGACAAAAGAACATAAAAAACCCTGTTGAGCTGAACATAACTGACTCCACAGATTTTGCCTGGAACATACCTGGACCATAAGAGCACTGAATTCTTTAGTATTATTTCAGGCAGATAGAACAGACATCAGAGTGCCTACTGCTACACAACTAGCCCAGTTCAAGGACATGTTTGTCAAGTGTATTTTGCAACTAAATTTTATTGTTATCATGAACATTTGCATCCAAGTGTGCAAAAGCAAGCACAAAATACTATATTGAATCCATAAAATTTTCGAGTAAAACCGTTAGCACCAGATAGTTTCGGAAGACATAGCAAGGACACACAACCAACATTTCCGCAATATGGGACCACAATAAAAGCATGTGTGTGCATACAACTTACAACTGGTACAAAATAGTCGTTTTTCCAGCATTGTCGAGTCCAACAATGATGATCTTGTGCTCTGCAATACAAGCAAGGATCACCATAAATATTTCTTCACCCAACAAGAGAACTAAAAGACAAGAAAGCCCTAAAAACTACAAGGTCATATAAAACAACTCTACTCTGGGAGTTTACGCAACAAGCATGATCATGTAGGAAAATATTCAGTTCATCTTCTACTTAATGGAAAGTAAGGTAGCAATTGATGAAAGACGTTACAAATTACGTAATGGAATGAGAACTAATGAATAGTTATCAGGTCATCTAATTACATTAAAATTTGAATCAATGTCACTCCACAAGATCTTTAAAACTAACATGAGACTAATCTAATTGTGATATATAATCATTGAAGGTCAAAAGTGCATCCAACTCTATCACAAACAATGAAAATGAATCAATTTGAAGATCAAAGGTGTTGATATAGTCATGTATAACCCCTTGACATCAATCGCTGACTCCCAAGGTAGACTACCCATTCTTACTCTGAATCTCAACCTGAAAGTATTCTTTACAAAAACCCTTTTATGCATCATTTATGCATTGATACTGGATACTATATAAGTAAATTTACAAAGCAAAGCAACATCATTTTTAGACAGTTCAAACAGATACAAAAAGTAACTTACCTTCATTTGCGAATAAACTCCACAACTTGGAAAACAGTATACCCATTTCACAGATTTATACAACTGAATAAGAGAAAAAAGTGCTCATAGTTTTCCTTTTCACACTCATGTGCACTGAACTCCACCAGCTGTTGAACTTTTACTCCTCTGGTAAGAGTTCTTGTCAAGCGCTGTGTGAGGAAACAAAGACAGCATGTTAAATTAACTCTCAACATAAATTTTTTTTTTTTATTAAAAAGTTAGCAAGCACTGCCAAAGCTATATGGAATCTGAGATAAATTTTTTTTAAAAATTCTCCCTCTTGTTGTAAAAAAAAAAGTGAACCAGCAAAAGGGTTCAAATTTAAATAAATGTACATCGGAGACAGCTGATATGACGAAGGCGGAACACAAACCAAAAATGAAATTTCTGCAAATTTCAAATATCCCATTCGAAATTTTAAATCTAAAACAAGAAGTTCCATCAATTTGCGTAAAGTACAGATACGTAAAAAAGATAAAAGAGAATAGAATTAAAAAGACATAGGAGGCAGAAGAAAAAGTACTCTACTTCTTGCAGGCAGAGACAACAAAGTTATTAACCAAACATTTTATGCTCAAGGTGAGCTTGGTTTAGAAACAGTGAACTCAGAGTAGAGTAATATGGTTCCCCTGTGTATTTGATTCATAATTACCATATTATATGTTGACTATCAGTTTAGCCTTTAATATAAAGTTCACTTTTTAAATTTTTTTCCTAAAAATAGTGCAACACAAAGGAAATATTTATAACAGAACTCAGTAGTTAAAAAAAAAAATTAACCATAGGGAGAAACCAGCCAACCCTAGCTGCTGGTATTGAACGATCAACCCATCTGAAGGTCATACATAAACATGCTTTTACTTAAATACCTACTGGAGATGGAAGAATGCACTACAGCAGCTAGTTGATATCATGTGATATGTTCAGAGTCACTTTGTGCAGCAAATCTGTACTCACAAGATAATACTGTCCACATGCACCTCAAGCAATAACCTCATAACTTTGCATTTGATTTTTCTCTTCTCTATTTTTCTCTCTATCTGTATTATTTCCCTAGAATTCTGGAATACTTGAGGATAGTTAAACGTACAGTCGAAACTGTCCAAGACAGCCATAAAGTACTCCCTCTGAAAGTGACAGGTGTTAATTTTTGCAATCTGAAGTGGAAAATAACAACAACCCTCATACCTCAGGTAAAAATAGCCAGCCTGCACTCTAAAAAGATAACCTTACACACATGCTAATGATAGTTTGTGAGGACAAGAGGAAAAAAAACCACCATCATTCCTTCAGGAAAAGATGCACTTCCACAAATTCTAAACGCAAAAATTGAAATTGTATGTCCCAGGCACTAGATTACATTCACTGTAGACAAAGGCTCTACATGTGTCACAACATCATGGAATCAGATGCTCGTCCACTTTAGGGTATATCATCTGCTTGTTCATTTTTCTTGCCTTTGCTGAAAAAATAACCCAACCCCAATCTATCTTGATGAAAAGAAGTCAAGAAGATTGAGACTGAAGGAGGTGGAGGTTGCCTGGTGTCGAAGGAAATATTAGTCAGAAAAGGCCGCCTAAATTTGAGTCCTTGGTATGCAAATTTACATTTTTTATTTTTTTTGCTTTCGATCAACGTTTTTCAGTAAAATACACACACAGTAAAATAAGATTTTGAACAGACATACCAAAAGGTGTTGAGTAAAAAACCCCAAAAAACAAAAATTCCATATAGATTGCCAGACAGGAGGAATAATGTCTAGTCTATTTCTTTGATTTCGGAGCTTTGTGAAAGGATCAAAGAAAAATAATTCCAAGCTGATGACTTTAATCAAATAGAAAATGAACTGATTTTTCTCTGGTGCTGTTTTTGTGCCGATATTTTACGAACAGTTAGAGTAAAAAATTATCTTTGAAAACTTTGATGCTATTTTTAAAGGCTTCCAATTTAAACCCAAAGGCCAAAAATATACTGTGCAGGAAACCCCGTCCAAAGCTCTCCACCAATGAAAAGACCGTATTTAATCATCAATCTTTCTGCAGAAATATCAATTTTTTAACAAGCCGACCTCGCATTTCGACAGAAAGGGGCTTCGCTTTCCGCGGCGATTCTCCAGCTCCAAAGACAGTAATATACAAATTACTTACACTATTGTATTTATTAAGGAAAAGCGAAACATTTTCATGGTGCACAGCATTTGATGCTTTATAGCGACAGGCAAAAGAACAGTGATCTTAATTACTCCAATATTACCGAAACCACACATGCCGTGAGTCAGCTTGAATGCCACGTATGATGTATGCTACCTCGTTTTACACAAGTACAAACAAGACTCTCATCCTTGACAATTAACTAGCTTTGGACCAACTTCTGGATGGAAACAATTTTTTACTTTCACTCCTGCACACAGATGCACTGCTTTGGGGTCAAACTGCAGTATAATTTTTTGCTGCAGATCACACAAACAGCCATACTATCCACAGCGCCGAATCTACGGTCGTTTAGTTTCGGCGGGCAGTGCGTTGCTGGGCCAGTGTGACCGGGGTCAGCTACCGGTCAGTCTACCCGCGCTCATTCCACGAACGGGGTTACATACCACGGCAATTCTACACACTTTTGTTTTAATGCTCACCAAAGACAACAGAGCTGTCAACATACACCAAGCGTTCCATCAATGAGAAGATTTTACTTTCGATGTCTAGTTTATGAAAACGCAATAAAAATATCTATAATAGTATTAGCTACAATTGACTGAAGACAACCGTCATAGCTGTGGTATTGAGGGTAATGTACACCCATATCAAGGTTAAGTAACAATCAAAGTTGACAGTGAAATTCACTAAAATCTCAGAAAAAAGACAATTCAAGGGGTATCCCAATTCCAAAGAACATTTAGTCGGAAAAGTAGTAATCCATATTTGTGAATTTTCCTTGAACGACCAAATCTTAAGTGCTTGTAATTCCGATTAAAAAACATCTTTAAAAAAAAAAAAATAATAATTTCTTTACAATAAAACGAGCTATATCTATGGAACCATGGATATTTGTTCAGTGCATGCAGCCTCGACATGTAATGTTTATCCTGTCTGGAGCTCATTATATTGAGGTAGTTTCTTCTTTGAATCTTTCTACCATGGCTTGGTCTCGTTATTTAACTCTTAGTACACGGCATGCAAGTTCAGCCAGCTCACAGCATCACTCAATTGTGTACAGCCATAACATAAATCTACCAGGTCTTAGGCAGTCCATCCTATATGTTAAAAAAACTAATCTTTACTGCTTGGATCATTCATTTTTACCCTATTTGGCGTTTATTTTAATTCAAATAGGTTAAACTGGGGCGGAGTTATTGGGAGGTTTGTGATACTGAAAACCTTGATGACACAACACAATTGGCTGCTTACAAAGGAGGAATAACCTTCCGAGCGTAGAGTCAGTTTCTTTCAACAGACGGGTGACGAACTGACACGATATAGGAAAACACGGTAATCTTTTGTCGTAATTTGACAGTCGAATGTTCACCCTGTGTGTTGGCTGTGTCTGACCAGATCTCAAGCTATTAAAAATGTGGAAGAGGCGGTCTTCTTCTAATTGTGGTAAATTCTTGGTGGCATTTCTGGCATTGTCATCCGGCCTTTTATTTTATAAAAGAACAAAACAATACTTTGCAATTTCACACGTGCCTTAGGTTTTCTTTTCAGTTGAAATTGAGAAATTTTGCACACAGTAACACAGGCAATATATCGCATTTTTGTCGGGTTTTCACAGACTGTGAGAGGGAGACCTGGTCTTCTCTTCAGGTATGGAATATTTAGTGGCTAGAGCGAGGATACAGATGATATTTAGGTGAGAATAGCGCAGGCGAGTCTTTAGGCTATTCTCACCCGGTTTGCGTTCACCGTTTATAGCCTAGATCTAGGCCAACCAATTTTGCGTTCACCCTGAACCACAGAATTTTACACTGTGATATATATATTATAACAGAAAAATTGTAGAATTTTGTGCCGTGAGCTTGTACCTTCCATTACTACTGTTAGCCTAAAAGCGTACAATTTTGTCTGTGGGCAGTGGAGAGTGAGAGAGAAAGAGAGAGAGAAAGAGAGAGAGAGAGGAGTAGCACGAGAACTTCCGGGCAAAACAAAATGGTGACCCGCGTAGTTCAGCTCGATTTGAAAAGTTAAACAGCCGTAGCATCTTTGTAGACGACCAAATTAATTTCCTTTTGTGTTTTAACATAAAATTTTAAAACTTTATTTTGGTAAATTTCATCGTCCACACCGATAGACAGTAATCAGAAAGAGATGTCAGAGAGAGAGAAGAGGGGAGGAGTAGATCTTGCGAGAACTTTCGGGCAAAACAAAATGGCGACCCGCGTAGTTTGACTCGATTCGAAAAGTGAAATAGCCATAGCATCTTTGTAGACGATCAAATTAGCTTACTTTTGTGCTATAACCTAATTTTTTCTTTGCTTTTATCCATTTGATCATCCACACCACGATAGAAAGTCCCAAAATTAGGAAAAACAGGTCTTGTTTCACACCGGGTGAGAATAGCCAACGGTGGCAAGTATTTTTATTCTCACCCCTTTAATTTTTAAAAGGCCACCTCTATTCTCACCCCGGGTGAGAATAGCGCAGGCGAGTCTTTTGGCTATTCTCACCCGGCGTGCGTTCACCATAGCCTAGATCTAGGCCAACCAATTTAACGTTCACCCTAAACCACAGAATTCTACACTGTGATAACAGAAAAATTGTAGAATTCTGTGCCGTGAATAAACGTTCCATTACTAGTACTGTTAGCCTACTAACTAAAAGCGTACAATTTTGTCTGTGGGCAGTGGAGAGAGAGAGAGAGAGAGAGAGAGAGAGTCTAGAGAGAGAGAGAGAGAGAGAGAGAGAGAGAGAGAGAGAGAGAAAGAGAGAGAGAGGAGTAGCGTGAGAACTTCCGGACAAAACAAAATGGCGACCCATGTAGTTCGGCTTGATTCGAAAAGTTAAATTGCCCCGTAGCATCTTTGTAGACGACCAAATTAATTTCCTTTTGTGTTTTAACATCATTTTTAAACTTTGTTTTGGTCAATTTGATCGTCCACATCGATAGTATTCAGAAAGAGACAGAGAGAGAGAAGAGGGGAGAAGTAGATCTTGCGAGAACTTTCGGGCAAAACAAACTGCCCACAGACAAAATTGCACGCTTTTAGGCTAACACTAACAGTAGTAATAGATCTAGAACGTTTGTTCACAGCACAGAATTCTATAATTCTGTTATCACAGTGTATAATTCTATGGTTCAGGGTGAACGCTTCACTGGTTGGCCGAGGCTATGGTGAACGCCCACCGGGTGAGAATAGTAATAGCCAAAAGACTCGCCTGCGCTATTCTCACCCGGGGTGAGATGAGAATAGAGGTGGCCATATTAAGCTTAGCACCAGAAGAACGGGAGGACTTCTGACTTCTGTAGTCCGTAACGAGCGACCACTGTGAAACAGAGGGGTAGGGTAGGGGTTGATGGGGGGGGGGTAAGATTGAACAATACTGGACCAGCGGACTGACTTTGCCTTGTCTCAACCTTAGGAATTCATGATTTTCCCCAGTTTTTAATATCTCTCAATGGAGATTCTTGGACCGGTAGATCTATCCATTCATAATTTGTCAGGGGGGAGACCCCCCCCCCCCCCTCAACCCCCAACCATCCTTCCCACCCATCCCACATCCTCGCGCAATACTGTATGAGTGGTCCGGTACTCTTCAATCTTCCCGTTGGGGGTAGAGTAAGGGTAGGGTTAGGGGTAGGGGAATGACTTCCGTGACGAACGACCACCCCAACAAAAACAAGGCCTTTTAAAAGAATCTTAACCCTGCTGACCCAACCCCGAACCCTACCCCAAACTCTTGTTTTACTAATGACTAATGTTACTCTTGTATTAAAAGTCTACAGCGTTTTATTTTCTAAACTAAAATAATACGTGGCTACTATTATCATAAAGTACACGGTAAAAAGACATGAAATATAAAAAAACACAATAATCTCAATGACCTGTCTGAGTACTGAGTAGGCTTACAGTAATGGACGCCAACACAAAACCCGATGAAGTCACACAGCTGTTGACAAGGCAAGTATGTTTCTTACCTTTTTTTTCTTCTTGTTCAACTCTTTCCGGAAGTAAGATTTCTATTTTGTACGAGCTTGCCCAGTGGGAGTGAAGTAAATGCAACTCTAGAGAATGTATTTTTTTCTTTATCAAAATAACTTTTTGTCTGTTAGCTTTAAAATAAGTGTTTTGAAAATTTTTGAAGCAATAAAAACGAATGATTAGACTACAGCTGTACAAAAGCCGATATTTAAGTATAACCACATAAGCTAATGTGTTTTCAACTTGAGTGTCTAAAATACCCTGGCATTATTTTCACTAAAGGGAAACTACTCATTGTGTGTAAATTTTTACATTACAAAACAAATTCAAAACATTATAAACACCAACAGTAAACACAAAGCTACTTGTAACAAAAAGACACCACTGTCTTGTTTTGGCAATAGATAAATAGATCTAAATCTAGAGAGATCAACTGCCGGCCACAACTGCTTTTGCATTCGCAACAGACGGAATCCTTGAAAAGTATGATATTTAAGTCAAATCTTTAACTACGGAGTGATTATATTCTCACTCGGGTGAGGATAAAAACTGGATATTGTGAGAATCGGGCATCATATAGTTCATAGGATCCCTGACTGACTGAGCACTCCAGAAAACTCGCCTCCCTCTCTCACTCCACTGAGAGGTGACTAGATCTAGATCTAGATCTAGATCTATATTGTCGATTTGGGGGATAACGTTATGAAATCTTTTGAGCAAATTGAAATAGCGTCACTTTTTGTCTGACTTTGGTCACTTTGCCTCTGTCTCAACCTTAGATTCATGATTTTCCCCACATCTCTCAATGGAGAATCTCGGACCGGTAGATCTATTCATTCTATTTAGAGCTAGAAATCTAGATCTAGAATCTAGATCTAAATATCTAGATCTACATTAGATCTATCTACACCTAGATAGATTCTTTCTGTCTCTAGATATCTAGATCTAGACTTCTAGATCTAGGCCGGCAGGCTCTATTTCATCTTCGAACGTTCGGGAAAATAAACTTATACTTTATTTCTCCGAACGGTTTCTGTTCTCGAGATTTGTTGGTAATAAGTAGGCCTAGGTGAATGGAGTGGCCCGTGTGTGTATGTGTGTGTGTGTATGTCAGTGTGTGTGTAAGGTGTGAACGGAGGGGGGGGGGGGATTTTAAAAAAAACTTAAAAGGGGGGATTGTTTTTGCTGGGTGAATAAATGCAAACGAAGTGATTATTCGGACTCGAGTCCGAATATGAAAAAATGTTATTCGGACTCTGATTCTTGTCCAGCATGACATCATTTCCGACTTCCTGTGACTCGTGAATCCGGCTTCCTGTCCTGCCTCACTCGTGACTCGCCTCAGGCTGGGTAGAGACCGGGATCACTTCGGGCAAAACTTAGGCGTTTTAGTTTTGTGCAGGAGCCGAGTTTTAATCTTATGATGAATTTGAGGCCGGCCTGAAAAGTTATAGCTCTTCTAATAAATGTTTATTTGTCAAGAGGTCATCTGAAGCAATTAAAGATGGCTCGTTAGCGTGTGTCGGGGTCAAATGGGCGGCCTGCACACGTGTGGCTGTGTGCGTGTCGGGGAGGGTGGTTGGGGGGGGGGGCACTATTGGTCCGGGCGTTGTACGTCGCATACGCGTCAGTCTTTTTCCCCCCGGCAACTGATCATTATTACAATAATAAGCTAGTCTTGACGTAGATCTACATAATGAATTGTGCGCTGGTCTATGGAATGAAAAGTTGCCGTATGCTCAGCTCTACACGGCAACACAACTTTTTCTTGGTAAACAATCGATATGACACAGGCTTGTGTATTTGAACGAATCGGTCTTTTTTTTTTTTACACAGCTCATAATATTATGCAGGTGCCAGGTGGTCTGCTAATTATCTTCAATTTTACCTTTTTCTACAACAAAAAAAGTGGGAAACGTGGGTGGGGGGGGAGTATCAATGAGGCGGCGGGCATTAGATCGGCAGATAAGGTGTGGGGGAAACTAAAAAATGGCGGAAAATTGAAAGCACTGAACGTTAGATCTATAGAACGAAGACACTTCCTTTTTTCCGGACCCGAGTCCGAATAACATTTTTTCATATTCGGACTCGAGTCCGAATAAGAATTTTTTAAATTCGAACTCGAGTCTGAATATGAAAAAATGTTATTCGGACTCGAGTCTGAATAACGACGACCAAATGCAAAATAGGTTACTCCATGCCAAGGTCGAGCAGCAGTCTTGTTTTCTCGCTGTACCTTTTGAAGGTATTTTCAAATGAAGTATAAAATGTATAATAATAGTCCAGGAACGTTGCTCCAACCACAATTGAAGTTGCTGAATATTCAGACATTTAAAAATCTCTAGAGCTCTAAAAAAAATTTTAATTGAATTATTCGATGCAAAAAATGCTTCCTCCCAGTCCTTGCAGAATGGCAAATGAAATTATGAAAGGATGACGCCTAAATCTCGCAAATAACCAAAAAATCTCGAGATCAAAAACCGTTAGGAGAAATAGAGTTCAACTTTATTTGCCCGGGCGTTAGAAGAAATAGTCCCTTCAATTTATTTATTCGTTCTGCAATGGAAAATTTTACCCTTGAATGGTTATAATCAATCAAGTTATAATTCTTTCCGGACGTATCGCCGATATATCGGCGCGAGTCCACACCCCTTGTGGACGTATCGACGATATCGGCTATGATAAGGTGCCTCAGTATTCTTTCGTTTTAACACGATCCATCATTTATACTTTATTATTGCAATTGAAAAACTCGGAAAGGATTTAGAAAACAAAAACATCTAGATCTAGCTCTAGTTTCACTTTGTCAAAGTATGGGTTTCGGGAAAAACGAGTGAATTAGTTCTTGCGGTGTTGCAACAAAACGATATAACGGACTAGGTATAAATTTCATGACTCAAACAAAAATTGGAATAGATCTAGATCTATTGCTTTCAAATAAAAAGCTGCGCATTCAGAACTATATGTATGCTCTTGGTCTGTATGATAAGATCCATAGCATAGCTATGCTGGTTTGCTTTCACATGTTTGGTGAATGTAATTTTTTCAGGGAAAATTTTTTTTCTCATCACCATCGCCATTTCAAACCCTTCTAATGCATGTGCTTACCTCCCCCCCCCCACCCCTCCCTTTTCCAGGTATAAAATTAAATTTGGACGTCCCCTTTAGGGGTTTTCTGGATGAATCAATCCATGTCTAGTTCTACCCTCCTAGCCTAAGTCTTTACTAGATCTACCTAGTGCTTCGGAACCAAGCAAGTTAAATAATCAGACGATCGTGTTTACAATTAATTTACTCTAGATATAGATCTCTGGAATCTAGATCTAGCTAGAAGAGGATTCACAGTCCAAACAGGACTATTGGGGGGTGGGGTCGGGTCGGTTTGCTCGCCAGATTGATTGCCCAAAAAGCGGCTATCATGGCACAAATTGATCGCGCCCGACCCGTTAACTCAAAACCAAACACATTTTCAGGCGAATAGTCGGGCGATATCATCCCAACACGACCTGACCCGACCCAATCCCATCAGCAATGGGCACCCCATAGTGGAAAGGAAGTGGTAGATCTATTTCAGATACGAATTGTCCCCCTTGGTGTCATTATTTTTAGCTGTGGAAGAAAGTTTCAGTTTTTTAAAAAGAAATTTTATTATTATTTTTCCAACTTTTGCAGAAAATTGGCTAAAATTCGCAAATTCACGAAAGTGGCAAAGGTTGCACACGCAAGTTGCGGGTTGCGGACGCGAATTTCTCTGTGAACAGTTTTGCAGTTGAGCATTAAAACACTTGCCAAACCCCCCCCCCCCCAACCCCCCCAAAAATTTTGGGGAATAAAAACCCCTGCAAATCAATTGTTTTCAAGTACATGTGGATATCAATCCCAATTTTGCCCAATCAAATCATGGTGAAATGAGGAGGGGGGGGGGGGGGGGGGCATGCCTCCCTGAAACTCCCAGATTCTTTTTAGGCCAAGGGGACATGCCCCCCTGAAACCTCCCATGTTGTTAAAAACAAGTCAAATGATACTACGCTATTGGCCCTGTATCTACTGTAATATATAGTTCTGTTTTCAAACATCAATAGCTCTATAACTATTGATTTGCGGCCGTATGTTCGTGTTCAGCATGCAAAATACTACTAGAAAAAAAGTATATATACGCTCGTATAAAACGTGTACATGAGACGGGTCGATAGTAAAAAAAGAACCCAGATTTAAAAGTTGACTTGCCCCAAGGTGTGACTGATCTTTGCCCGCACTCAGAATTCTCTGAGTTAATGCACATTGGTTGAAGTGTCTTTCAGGACTTATTGGGGTTTTTTTTTTTTGGGGGGGGGGGGGAGGTTAGACACTTGGACTAGGAGTGCTTGACATGATGCTTCAGGGTCTAAAAAAATAATTATAAAACACACACACAAACAAACAAACAAGCAAACACACACAAAGGGCATATATGGACACCCTTGACAAATTTGTAAGTAAGTCTGGCAGTCACCTTGGTGATTTACTGTTGATCCCGATTTTTTGCACCAAATCCCGATTTTGTCCCCCTGAGATCCTGATTTTGAGATTTTATAGAGTGGCAGGTCTGAGTTCAGCTTTTGCATGGCAATCAAACTTTGAGATTGAGCAGTAAGAAGTATTGTATTTAACTAAAAGTGTGTCTACTATAAACTGAAAGAGGGACCAATTATAATCCTACTAAGTTACTATGTCCACTGGAAATTATTATAATGAAATATTAGGGCCTATAAACATAGGTGCTTCTATTTAAAAACTATTAAATCTTTTAGACCCAACTGCATGGTATGTTTCAGTTGTTTTCAACAACTGGGGTAGGGGGAGATGAGGGGGGGTTGTGTGTTAAAATTAAAAGGCGCATATATATACCCCTGACCTAAAATATAACCTCTGCCAGAGGATTTCAGGGGGGGCTTGCCTCTTTGTGTATTACAATGTAAGTACAGTCGAACCTGCCCTGACGGCCACCTCTATAAGACGGCCACCTGTACAAACGGTCACTTTCCATTTCCCCCCTTGCGTTTTTTCTATATAATTTAACTGTGTAAAACGGGCACCTGTCCAACGCGGCCGCGGCCACCATAATTTAACACACAACCCCTATCATACTAAGCAATAATACCTGTCTAAGACGGTCACCTTAGTGACTCCATTACGTTTTGTGCATTGGCCCCGGGCGTTGTGGGCGAGCCGTCATAATTCAATCACCTGTCGTTGTTGTTAGGTAGTCCCTCCAACCGATCATGTTGCGTAGGCCCCTCCCACTATTGACAATAGCTACCAATTTTCAGCTGCTGGTGAAGTAAGTGTGTAATCCCTCATAACCCATAAGCTCCGCCCAGAACTCATACATAAATCGTAAGTGAGATGAGTGGTCACTGTTTACCCAGTCAGTAACGCAGTAACAAAGGACGTCAACATGAACTTGTTACAGAAGTGTCGCTCGTTCTCCGAGTGGTGGCGACCCATGTGTTTGTTTTAATGGCACTCGGTCTTCCTTGTCTGACGCATTTCGTTTTATTGTCACCCTTGTGCAAAATCAGCAACAAAATAAAAATTACAAACGAAATACAAACCAACAACAACAACACCAACAAAGACATCATAGTGGGGCTACTTTCGATTGGGGCCTCAAATGGGAATGGTTTGTTTTCTTTATCTTGATCAGTCCTGCATAAGACGGCCACCTGTTTTATACGGCCACTTTTCTCCTTGACAATGAGTGGCCGTCTTACACAGGTTTGACTGTAATGTGATGTTTTGCAGTCATATTTGAATATGTTGAACCAAACTCCATTGATTTGCAAGGGTTTTAGTGGCCGGAATTGTGTTCCCAGGGGCGGTTTGTTAACTGGGCAAGACTGGCGGAGTCTGTTACTTTTTGTTGGCGATATACTGGACAATAGTTTCATTGCTAATAAAATAATAATTCTTATTCAGTTTCAACTAAATCCAAATTAATATTTTGTCAACATTCAATAGCACTTTGCCTCTGAACAAAGAGACAAATATTAAGGGCTCACCAGTTTGTTGTTACACCACAGAAACTCATTCATACATCTCAGTTGATCTTGCTGGCTCACAACGTTGCCATTACTAGCTGCTGTCACGATGCGCAGCATTATATGGCTCGCTCAGTGGTAACATCACCTTTCTTAGGTTGGCGAACTGAGCAATTGCCCACAGAGTGGATAAAGACTTCATGAAGATCACTTTTCTTGTCAGTCTGGCTCTTCTGTTGCTTACAAAGGACAAGACTGTCTTGAACAGTACATCTTATAGTATAGTTTCATCAGTAATGCTTTTCTTTAAATCTGCAGCAGGTGGCTTCTCTTGGAGAATGTTACCCTACCCGATTGTTGTGAAAGGTGTATCATGGTCAGTAGAGCAGGGTTAATTTTGAGATTGTGGCACCCTTGGATTCAGGGTGCCTGATACTGATTGTGAGCCAAAGTTGATGGATCATCTTTTTATCTGTTTTGACATTTGTGACAACTGTTATTTAGTTTTAATTATATTATAATTAATGTAAGAATAGAAAATATATAATGTGCACATTTTAAGAAATATCTCTATTTTCATGCTTTTTTTTCCTCCAGATTCTTTGCGACTAAGTTGATGAGAGAAAAGAGACATTGCTATGGCTTCCTGCTTATCGGCGTATCCTTTACAGTTTTTCAGTGCTTAGTTTTAATTTGCTCTTGAGCAAACACTTACATTTTAGTACAAGATTGTTCTTTTCTCCAAATTTGTAAGTAGGTATTTTAATTCTTGATGGATCAAAATTATAGTGCAAGATGAAATAAACAGGCTTGTGGACTGCATAAAGAGAAAGCTTTGGAGTTTTTATTGATTTTTTTTTAAAATGGAAAGTTCTGATCTTTATGTTTTGTTCTGAGGTTGATAAAGGTTCTTGTACCAAGAAGATTAATGTACAATAATGCAGATGTTGCTGCCAGAGCTGATGAAAACAGGTTTGGATTTGGGTTGTTTTTTTTGTTTTTTTTGTTTCCCAGTGCTATCTTTGCTCCTGCTCTTTGTATTTTATGATGGCACAACACTCTCTAGAAATAATATCCAACCCACAACAATAAAGATGTCACCTCAAGCACTACTGAAGGCAATATTTCCTGTTTCTGTATGGAATGGAGGAATGGTTCATAATACATGGATTGGGGAATTAATGATTACAAGGGAGAAAGGAAAGTTCAGCAATGAATCGCACCAACTCTGCACTGTACGAGCATTATACTAATAGCTGTTTTTAAATTAAACTTTGTTCTATGCCTCTGATCCTGTTATGAATTTTTAAGTATCAATTAATTTTTTTCCTGATATGGAGAAATTCAATTTTTATCATTTAAAAAAAAATCATATTTTTGTTCATGGGTAATTTGGTTTTTGTCACAATAAGTTTCTGTGTTATTAGATTATTTTGTGGGATAATGATTTTCAGTGATGCGAACAAAGTATATGTATTTTTTAATGGAATTTTCTATATGTGTGGCATTGTGGTGAAACCATGCACTCCTCAAAATGGTTAGCCATTTAGCTCCTCGAATTTGTATGATGCATGTCCTGAAATCATTAAAAAGGGAGGTAATCCTCTAAAAATATTGTAATGTTTTAAAGAAATTCATTAAAAAAAGATTTCTTTACAAAATGATCGGGCTAAGATGCAACTATATTAGTAAAAGAATACTGCTCCCAACGAGTCAGTCTCCACTGCAATACAGTACGGACAATTTATTTGTTTCTCCAATTATATGGTTTTCATTCGCTACCCATCTATTTCGTCAAATTTAAAAAATAACCGACTCATTTAACGACTTGAAAATGGGATATCACTGTAGACCGACAAATGAAATTTCAACATATGTTCATTTGGTCGAGATAGCGTCATTGGCTGAATTTCTATTTCTATTTTCAAAGTTTCCTTGGATTTGTACATCGCACCCTTCCTTTTGTCATACCTGTTACTTATTTTTTAAATTCTCACACACACTATTTTTGGGTTAATGTTGACCATTCAAAACCTCAAGGAAAGAGGAACAACTCTACTTTTGCTTTAAAGTTATAGCCTCAGTTTTCATTTAATTCTAAAGGACGTTCTTCCTTTGACACCTGGTGACCCCCCACCTCCTTCAATTGCTAACATCTCAAATTCTATTCACCTTAGATGAGTGGGGGTTTTTTTTACATCAAAAGCAAGGCAAATGAACAAGCTTGAAGATTGCTAATAATTCCATATGCCCAGAAATTGATGAGCACCTGATTCCACCATGTTGTAGCATGTATTGTCCTTAAGCTAAAATCCCAGTGATCTTGAGATACCTTTCCCGTCAGCTCGAGAAGCTGAGATTGCCCTGGGTACTCTGAGTGTTGATAAAGAACCAAAGCGTGGTGGTGTTCAAAGGACCCTGAAAGTCAGTGACCAGATATTGCATGTGTGAGTATTTCTATGACTTTTCCGTTTGATTTCATGTATGTAGTGTCAGTGTGTACTTTCTTGGTTTCTAATGCAGTTTTATATTTAATAAGATATGATCTTTATTGTTTAGATACTGGAACACCACTGGACAGGTAAATGTCAAAATAAGAAATTTTATGCTTAATTGTTATTTAATATATATATATATATATATATATATATATATATATATATATATATATATATATATATATATATATATATATATATATATATATATAATATATATATATAAGGTTCTGAATATTCTGAGTTGTTCTAGTTCTAGAAATTATGTCATGAAAATAATTTTACTTTTGGAGACACTTGCAGACACAGATTTTTTAGTAGTGTATGGTTGTTGGTTTTCATTATCATAGCACGAGAAATGAGGGTGACTATAAAGTATAGAGATTAAAGAGGGGAATAATTTTATATTTTCATTCCATTATGTTTTGTTTTTGTTTTTGTATTGGAAAGCGTTTTATGGCTTGCAACTGCATGGGGTCATATGAGCGTGTGACATAATGTATAAAGAATAATTGTCCTCTGTTTACTTTTACAGATCTTTTTTATGCTTCATTATTAGGTTTATTTTAAATAACTTTATATTATTATTTTTATTCCAGTCACTTTGAGGCACAAGAAGCAAGGACTCTTCGTGTTAGCATCAATTCCTTCTTTGAGCATGTGAACCTAGTGTGCAAGACCATGCAGAGTTTTGGCCCTCCAAGATAACCCAGTGAAGAAAAAGGAAAATGTTTATAGGGTATTCAGTAAAAATGTATTTTTTTTTAGTATATGTAATAACATCATCTTCAGCTTAAAAATTCTGGAGTTCTCACCTTTAACTGTGGGGTTGTTATAAGATAGGGCACTCCAGTGCTGTGGTGAGAAATGGACCTTTATGAACACCTGGATGATCAGGTGTACGAGCGTACATTTGTGACATTTATTTTTATGTGGAATCTTTAGCTTCCTTTTAAGCTTCTTCCTTCCTCTTTGCTCCCAACATGTGTCCACTCTTTTGACTTTTTGTGAAGATAGGTACATCTACCTGAGTCTAGATGCAACAGGATTCAGGAGGAGCTCGAACATTTTCTCATGATATTCTGATAAGTATCTGAAAATGTCTTCTGGGCTTTGTATTTGGAAAATTATTCTTCCATCCATTTGTGCTTGACAAAGACAGAGCGTGGGTAATGGTCATTATCAAAATAGTTTAGGACATTACATTCTCTGATAATGGCTGTGTACAAGGTGGTGAGGACCAGGTCAATAGCACCTAGTTATTTCGTCTCATAGCCATCCTGGTGATCCTACATGTTACGTAGTTCCTGTCCAGAGCAGTTTCTATTGCCATTCTACGTGTGTTTGTGATGACAATACCCCAGTCACCTCTCCTAGCATTGAAGTCCGCTTAGATAATGGTTTCTTGTGGGAATGTTGTTAAGAGGTCATCAAGGGCTAGCTTGGGGTCTTCTTTCATTATGCCATTATGAGCATTGTCATTGTTGTGCACAGATTAATTCTTGAGTTCATTTACTGCGACTAAGTGAAGATTGTTGGTGGCATAGTGGTTAACATCAAGTACACATTCCTTGAAATCAAATCCAGATCTCACTGTAATAAGCTGGCCATACCCAATCTTGACCAGTAACTGAAACCCTGCAGTGTTTCCATTCCTGTAAATGGATGACATCCGCACACTAAATCACCTTCTCCACAACTCTTGTTCTTTCTTCAATGCTGTTGCAGTTCCGGTACAGGACGCTCAAGTGACGTTTGACTAATCTCTGTGATTTTGTCTGGTTTCTTTTTGCTCCAGCTCTTCTTTTTCTGGCATTCCCTCCTTTCTTTTGTCTTTTCTTCCTGGTCAACTCTGTTGAGGAGTTTCATGGAGGACATGACCACTGTAACTCCTTCGAACATTCTGCTGAATATAATATGTGAGGCAGCATGGTGAAATCAGGCACTCGTCAAAATAATGCACTTGAAAAAACAGGCATTTTTCTGCCAGTTTGGCAATTTTTATAGAATTTTTGTTATTTGTCTTTACACCATTATTGTGTAATTAAGAATACATTTCTGGATGTATTTTACTGAAAAACATTGATTAACTTTCCCTTTTTTATTTTCTTCTCTATTTATTTCTCACACAGAGACATATGCTTCCTCTCTTTCTCTCTCTATTTCTCTCTTAAAGGCACACAAAATGCAAGTTTAAGTGTCCACAGACCATCAAGCTATGGGAAATAACCACACTTTGGCAGCTATTTTCTCACTAATTTGACCTTTGAAACCAGGTGACCCCCACCTTTGTCAATCTAAGATATCTTGACTTCTATTCAAGATAGATGGGTATTTTTTCACTGATAGCAAGACAACTTCACAAGCTTTAAGATAATACCAATAACTCCACATGCCCAAATATTGATGAGCGCCGGATTCTACCATGTCGTGACACCTATATTATATTTCAATTCATGAGTTGCTTTGCAATGCATGGGGGAACTTGAAGTTGAAGTAACCTGTCCCCCTGACTCTGACAGAGCCACATGTCAGAGAGGAAGCAGTGGAGGCCTACAAACAAGAAGGGTCCTACAGCCTAGCGATGCCCCACATCCCACACTAGATGATCTTCGCTAAACGTTGCTCACCCTGCAGCCATTCAGTTCAGCCTTTAGGTGCATAGGTTACCTTGGGTGTTGGTTGGGCACAGGCACAAGATGATTCTCGTTGAGAGAGAGATTTGTTGGCAATAAAAATAAAAGCGGGTCAGGGTGGACAAGGTGTGGTCATGTTTGAGCAGAGAGGGTGTCTGGAGTTCTTTCAGACATGTATGTGTCTTTTGCCTTTATAGATCCACTATGTAGGTCTACTGCTATGATTGTTTATAATTGTGAGAGTGTCTTTTATTCTTGCAAAGTTGCGAGATGAAATGTCTCCTGTGGGTAATAAAGTGTTTTTATTTTTAACAAAATCATTTTGTGCTGTCTTGGTGATTGTAACTGTGAGTGTGGGAGTTGTTGAAATGATATATTGTAGCCTAATTTTATATAGAATTTCATTTGAAACTCTGCTGTGAAACTGGTAGAAAACTAAAGCCTTTGACTCTGGGATAAGCAGCCTTCCCTAATGTTCCTTTGTCATGTATAGCCATCACCTTTTGTGAGCAGTTATCACTTAAAATAAGTTAAAAGCAGCATTATACTATAGGCCTTTTACATGTAGTACGTAAGAGGGTAATTTGTATTGTACATGAAGTTTGTGAAACAGTGGCTCGTTTGTTTGTTTGTTTGTTTGTTTGTTTTTGTTTTTCAAGCCATTTAGAGATTTGGATCAGTGTTTTGCAGACACCTGAAGTAAAACGTTATCACAATGCCATTATCAAACGAAGCCTCTACTTCTTGAACTTCAACAGCTCCTGGAGTGTCATTTGAAAAAGCTAGCCTATTGGTAAACAATATACTTGTCAAATTGTTATGCTTTCCTGTTTTTGATGTTCTTCAATACATACCGGTATGTGCAAAAACTTACTGTTTGTTTGTTTCCTCTCTTAGTTTGCATGACACCATTAAGTAGGCCGAGACAAACGGATGTTTTGTGGGTGGTTTTCGGGTGCTTTGGTGTTGTTTGCTTCTTCTTTCCTATGGAACATCTATCGTCCTTATCTCCCCTTCTTTTTTAAAATGTTTGTTACACTCTTGTAACACCTCTAATCTTCTGGCGCTCATATGACCTTATGCAGCTGTGAGCGCCGTAAAATCTCTACAGGGTCGGGAAATCGAGAAAAAGTCGGGAATTTTTAGATGGGTCGGGAGGTCGGGAAAAAGTCGGGAATTTTGTGATGGGTAAGTCGGGGAAAGTATAGGTCCTGTGTAATGTGCAGCTATCTAGACTGTATGGTTGATGAATCCTTAAGAGGAAACGTAATTGAACTGCTGTGACGGAAGTATGTGTGACACCGAGGCTCGATCGGGAAGAATCAAGATCTGCTTTCGTTACCACCCAGAAGGCAACGCTAGAGGACAAAAACTGAACTTGGAAGCACATTTTTAGCATTTTGATTACACTACTTTAGAGCTCTCTGCAAAGCGCGCGTTGGTGCAGGCCTTATGTGGAATCAGGATCCGTCATGCCTTGTTATTGAACTAAAGTGTTTGCGTTTCATTGGATGGGGTGATTGTAATTTATATCTATATATTAGCTTTCTGTTCAAGATTGGCAGATTTTCAGTGTCACTGCATCTTGCCCCCCCCCAGTTCTTACACCTCTCACACTGAATAGGTGTACTTGAGCCATTCTAGTTATTACTCTACTTTGAGTTGCAGCAATGGTTTTCGTCTTCACATTTATTATATGAATCGTGACACCCAGACTGGTTATTGACAATCGATTTTCTAGTTCTAGGTCTTTTTTCAGGCTCAAAACAGGATTCATTAAAAAAAATATAATATAGGGCCTATGGTTTGTTATGTTGGCTAATATGATGATGGGAAAATATAAATAAGTAAGAACAGACTGAAATACCAAAGTCTCTCAAGATCCCAGTGCCACACTGACATGTTGTTGACTGGATATAATGTACCTACATGTGTGTATGTGTGTGTGTGTGTGTGTGTATTCACAAACATGTAATATACATGTATTATATTAGACATAAATGGAGCACGCGCTTTCATTGTTATGTAACATGTTCCTGGAAAATGGATGAGGCCCTCCCTTGGAAAACTGAGAAGCTGGGTTGGCAGTAACCCATTATTGTAGTCATCTAGTGTTTGAAGACTATACTACAAAATGTACATTTGCATTCATTTATAGACATTTTGACTTTTTATCATTGATAGATGGGCTTTTTCGGGATCATTCTTGATGCGCAGCGGCCTGATTTTTCCCTCGAATTGGGGTCTTGAAAAAAAATTGGGGTCTTGAAAAATTTTTACAGGATTTGGTGGGGACCCTGTACATGTACTAAAACTTAACAAATGTTTTCATCAGTTAATCATTTTAATTTAATGTAGTTGTTTTGCAGACTAATGGTTGAATAGGATCATGATGTGTAAAGGCCCTGTTGATTTGTAAGTTTTTATACCATTTTCCAATGAAGAATGGCATTATTATAAAGTCTTACAACACCTGCCTTTTTTTTCTAATTCTAACCATAAGTTTGAAAAGCAGAAAGACGATAGGCCTACTTTATCAAACGTCTGTGATACAGACAAATTAAGTCGTTCATCTTCTCATGAGAAAAAAAGCACTACATCGTGCTATAATGACCACTGCTATCTACAGGAGACAGAAGTCTATAAACAAAATCAATGCAGCTCTCGAATTAATATATGAATGCTTCGGGGACAAGGTTAGCGCGCTCATATGACCTTATGCAGTTTTGCGAGAGCCGTAAAACCCTATACTACAAACAACAAGGGACAAGGTTTATGATGGTATGAAAGTCCTCATAAAGCCTTTAGTGCCAGGAGTATGATCGACTATCACAATGATACGCTGTATGTATGCTCCAGTAACGGTATAACTCTTAGGAACTGGCACATGACTTAAATGTTTTCTGTTTGTTGAGGTGGGGTCTCTAAATGTAGCCTTGTGTGCTTTAGATTCATACCCTCCATCAATACCATTAAGCAAATTACACCATCCGGGAGGTGGGCTCCCGACCCTGCCTGTCGGGGCCGACCCGGGTTGAGAGTGAGAGGGATACAACATCTTTACCGAGAGTGGCGAG